GTCGAACAGTATAAGCGATAATTAATTTGGAAATGTCAGCGGGTAAATTTATCTGTGTGCTCGATGCATAGTTTTTCAATTCGAAACCCTTAACAGCGCAAGCAATTAATGAGTGGAATGAGCTTGATGTGTTTTAGGCACGGAGCTGTTGGTACCACTCGGCATTTCAAATTCCCTCCAATCCGCCCCCATCAGGGCTGACAGCATGCCGTGACTCCAGAATCGATGGCTATTTGTTCCTCAAATGTCATAAGTTATGGGATTTTTAATGTCCCCCCAATTCCCACAGGATCGGGACGGTTGCAAACTCACCTTTACTAAGTAGGAGTTTATCCAGTTGACAAACGTCTTTTTTTGCACTCGCTCTTGTTCATCTGCAATAGAAAAAAACGGATTAGTTGAGGTCGTTTTCCTGCTTTGCGTTTTGCGGCTGACAAAACACCGATGTCTGCATCCCGGTTATTCTTCTGGAAATCAGAGGGTTTTTTGAAAAAACCTTAGTTATCGGCTTCAAAAGCTCATAAAATCAATTTTGCTCGATTTCAATCGCATTCGCTACGCCTGTCCTGTAAGCCAACATATCAATTTACGTATTGTCCTAGTTAATCCACATAGGAAAGGACAGCGCATAAAACCACGAACTCCAACAATTATGATGGCAATAACGAGCCAAGCAACACTTTTGAGGTCATTATTTAATTCGGCGCCTGCAAACAAGGCACAGTTCGTTAAGTTTGCATTGTTTGCTAACAAATTGTCGAGGGCAAATGGGAAATTTGCAGACAATTCCAGAGGAAACTTGTCATTTTTCCTGCAGGTTGATGATCTGGTTTCGATCGCTAGAGAAGTCGGTTATTTTTAACGAAATTCCATCGGGACAGAAGTGCGTGTCTCCAGGAATCTATCGATTTCATGCATAAGTACACATCGATGTGGTTTTCCAAATAGTGAATCAAATATGGATAGTAAATGGGCTTCAAGCACGCAATTTTCACCGCTTTCAGTCGGTTTCTACGCATCGTCAAATGTATATCGAATAAAAATAAAAAACGCTCAAAAAACATAAAATGTGCAGAAAATTTCTATTTTATTTTGGATCTGAAACTTCCAACATGTTTTTCGATGATTTGCAAAACTTATACATTCTGATTCGAAACTGGGCCCATTTTGGGAAGACGCTTTGAGCTTGAGGATAAATCAAGGGCAAAAATGGGGCTTCGGTGTCCAGTTCGCGATTAAATTCTTCCCGGCCGAGTTGACTTATAGGCGCGCTGACAGAACACGCCTATGTCTGCGCGTGCAGATTAGGGCCTACTACATTGCAAATCGTCCGTTATATGCCAATAAGTTATTTTTAAAATGCAATAAAATCGCTGTGAAACTGAGTTTAATAACTAACAAGTAGGAACAAAAATCGAAACTAAATTGCAGTTGGTGGCATAAATATGAATGTTTTCTTTCAGGTCCAGTCGCTAACTAACCAACTTCTAAAACTTGAATTTTCCAATTTCCATTCCGTTTACTCATTAGTCAATGTTCTGCTCTCTGCACAGACCTGCAAGTGTTTCCAGTGGAATAACCAGTGGTTTCTTAGCGTGGCAACTGAATTTACGTCTTGCCCTCAAAAGGCCTGATCTTCAAAAAGATGCAATGGAGCGCAATTTTTCTGATCGGATCACCCTGTATATTTTTTTATTCTGGTTTTCTTTATTAATTTCCCTTCATCCCTCTCCATATTTTTTTGTTTGTACATTCATTGATTGTCTGGTTTCTCAATTAATTTGCTCGCGATTTTCTTGCAGAACGGATTTCTTCGCGACATTTTAGGGCGTTGCGAAAAATACTTTACTTTTAATAAGACAAGCGTCTTTTGTGCTGGCGAAACATCAGGGAAAAAATTGCATAAATCCTCAATCCTCAAAGATTTTCTTCGATGGTACTTCGTAGAGTGATTTTTCCGTTCACAACTCGTAGTTTGCATGCCTCGAACCGACTCCGGTCGATTCGATTCAAGGATTTCAACAATGCCGAATAAAATTAAGCAAATTGCTATTTTTGCAAAACCAAATGCTCCCATATTAAGTAAATATGAGATCATGCTGTAAACATACACGTCCGCCAATAATTGCCCGTTTATGCTTGAACGCCATCATTATAGTTAACTACAGGTAGTTTTCAATTAATTTTAGGACCAATTTGCGCAATTGACTCAATTGCGTACCTCTGATGTGATGAATGTGTTCCTCGTACTGAGATTTGCTTCGCACATACTCCAACTTACTGGTACCCGTATAGAAACGTTTGCTAAACTCCTGCACCCATTCGGAACCCGAATTGGCCGATCGACTATCGCATTCCTCCCTTGAAAGTGGCCTTCCAAGGCTCTCATCCGATGTGAACCTGCCAGACAGGGAGGACTGGCTGGAGGTTTTTGAGGTTGAGGCCAAATTCCCATTGGACTGAGTGAGGTAATCGGAATCATCAATTTTCTCTTCCGATGGCGTCCGGCTCGAGGACGAAGCCACATTCTTAAGAGAATGAGTACTAGTGGACGTGCTGATGTATCTAACAGTCTTTCGCACTGTTGATTGCTCGAATTTTACAGTTTTCGTCCCAGATATTGGATCGTCCTCCTGAGTGGTACTGGTATATGATTCCTGCAATAGGAAAACCATCGCAGCAGGTCCAGGGGATTTGGAAAAATTTGCAATGAGATTGACGGGAGGAGATATTCAGTGGGCAAACAATAACACGCCACTGGGTCCATGTGATGAATAATTTAATGAAAATGCTTTAAAAATAACCATGATCCTTATCAGACAACGTAAAACTGGCTCATTTTTATTTTCGGCTTCTACTCATGTCATTTCAGATGAAACAAACAAATTATTTATTCTTTTACAAGCCGCGACTGTTGCATGAGCCATTAAAATGCGAATGATCGTCACGTTTCGAAATACAGCGTTGTCTTCAAGAGGTTTGAATTTTGCGTAATTTCTAGTATTATTGGTGTTTGCGTTCTTGTTTGTATTAATTCAGCTTTACTCTGCTTAAGATGGAATTGAACTTTTGGCTTTATCAGAGGCTTTTTTATCAGGCAAAAGTTACTGATGTCCGTAGGTTCAGGTTTCGTAAAGTGTTAATCTCAGGCAAGCGCATCAGCGGGGTTTTGCCTGAAAATAACACTTCCCAAACCATTCGCGCAGGTATTTTAGACGAGCGCGGAGCGCCAAATAAAGAGGGTTGGAGAAAAACATTCATGTTGAGACTCCACATTCACGAAGCGGGAAAAAATCAGGATTAGTCTCGATTTTAAGCAAATTTTCGGCATCTTCAGATTTCAGTGTTTGCTCTAGTTGGTACAAATTGCATTTTGCTACTTTTTTTAGTTGGGAAGAACCGAATTTTTAACAGAGGGGGAACATTTGAGTAAAAACATCCAATTTGAGACCCACATGTACGACGCCGCTAAAAATCAGAATAATACTCGATTTTAATGAAACTTTCTGAATCTTCAGATTTAAGTATCTTCGATAGATCGTGCCAATTTCGCATTCCTATTTGCTTCAGTTTGGAAGGTACGAATTTTTAAAAAATGGGGCGCATTGGGCTAAAAATGCCCATTTTGCGTCCCACGTTTACGACGCTGGCAAAAATCCGGATTAAGCTGAATTTGAGTAAAGATCTGGTCATCTTCGGGTCCAAGTATCTTCTATAGGTGGCGAAAATTTGATCATCCCAGTTGCTTCCGTTTAGAAACCCCAAATTTTTAAACGAGATGGTGCATTTGAGTGGAAACATCCAATTTGAGACCCACATGTACGAAGTCGGTAAAAATCAGAATAATTTTCGATTTTAATGAAACTTTCAGAATCTTCAGATTTAAGTATCTTCGATAGATCGTACCAATTTCGCGTTCCTAGTTGCTTCAGTTTGGAAGGTACGAATTTTTTAAAAATAAGGCGCATTTGGCTAAAAATG